ATATCCTTTCTTCCGCTTGGTCGATTTGGCTATGATACCTGTGTATTTTTCATGAAGTTCTCATGCTATGTTTTTGAGCTCCATCAGGTCATTTACATACCTCTCTCAACTTGTTATTTGAGTTAGCAGCTCCTGTAACATTCTATCAAGGTTCTTAGCTTGTTTGTATTGGGTTAGAACATGCTCCTTTAGCTCTGCAGTGTTTGTGATTACCCACCTTCTGACGCCTACTTCTGTCAATTCATCCGTCTTATCCTTCATCCAGTTCTGCATCCTTGCTGGAGAGGCACTGCAATCATTTGGAGGAGGAGAAGCACTCTGGCCTTTTGGGTTTTCAACCTTTTTTTGTTGATTCTTTCTCATCTTCATAAGTTTGTCTAGTATTAATCCTTGAGGCTGCTGACCCTTGGATTCGGTTTTTGTAGGGAATTTTTTGTTGTTGATGCTGTTGTTGTTTGTTTGTTTGTTTTTCTTGCAATGGTCAGCTCCCTCTTCTGCAGGGCTGCTGCCGTTTGCAAGGGGTTCACTTCAGCCCCTCTTCATCTGATTCATTCCCATGCCTGGAGATGTCACTCGAGGAGACTGGAGAACAGCAAAGATGGGTGCCTGCTCCTTCCTCTGTGATATCTGACCTCAAGGGGCACCAACCTGATGCCAGTAGAAATGCCCCTGTATAGGGTGTCTGACAACCCCTATACAGGAGACACTGTGAAGAAACTGCGTTAGAGGGTCTCACCCAGTTGGGTAGCATAGGGAACAGGACCCACTTAACGAAGCACTTTGACTGTGCCTTGGTGGAGGGAGTGTGCTTCACTGTGGGGAAACTCACTCATCTGGGCTACCCAGATTCCTCAGAACTACCAGGAGGGAAGGCTAAAGTCTGACAGTCCACGGAGACTGTGGCCACCCCTCCCCCTAGAGGCTCAGGCCCAGAGAGATTAGAGTCTGTCCCTAAGCCCCTGGATGGAGTTGTTGGAGTTCCTGCAGGGAGGCCCTGCCCAGTGAGGAGGGACGTGTCAAGGTCCGGCCTGAAGAGGCGCTCTGTCTGCAGTCTGCCACAGCCAGTGTGTTGGGCTGTGGGGGATACTTCTTGGCACAAAGCAGTCCAGCCTCCCTGCCTCCAGCAGAGGAAAGACATGGCCTGGAGCTATAGAGATGGCTGCCCCCCTTCCCCCGCCTGGGAGCTTAGTGTGTTAGGCAGCTATGGGTCCCATTGTTGGCCATAGCCCCTCCTGCAAGGAGCTCAAAGGGCTTAGACAGCAGGCAGCCGCAGCTGTGGTGCTGGTTGCCCCTCCTGCTGGGAGCTCTGCAGGCTTAAGCAGATTCTAGCTTAGTGGCTGTTGAAAATCTGCTGGGTTCTGTGGTTGGGACCCTAGGCCCCGGTGGTGTGGGCTCACAAGTGAGAGCTTCTGATCCGTGAGTTGCACAGTTCCATGGAAAAAGCACGTTTTCCCAGGCTGGGTAGCAGGCTCATTCACTGCCTCCCTTGGCTGGGGCCCGCGGCACCACACCGCTCTTCCTGCCTCTCTGTGTGTCAGGCCAGCTGCCTAGTCAGTTCTGATAACAGAACCTGGATACCTCGGCTGCCAGTGCAGGACTCACATGCTGTTATGGTTCTTTTAGATGGGAGCCACAGATTGCTGCTGCTTCTAGTTGGCCATCTTGGCCCCGACCCCCACTTTTAATTTCTTTCAAGAACTTTTCCTTTGCATTCACAACTTAGCTAACTGTTTGATGCAAGAGACCTAGCTTAAGGCCTATCTCAGCTTTTGACATACTTTCCTCACTATGCTTAATCATTTCTAGCTTTTGATTTAAAGTGAGAGACATGCTATTCTTTTCACTTGAACACTTAGAAGCCATTGTCGGGTTATTAACTGGCCTGATCTCAATATTGCTGTATCTCGGGGAACAGGGAGGCCTGAGGAGACGGAAAGAGACCTCAGGGGTAGTCAGTCAGTGGGTAGAGTAGCTGAAACACAAACAACATTTATCGATTAAACTTGTTGTCTTACATGGATATTGTTCATGGCACTCCAGAACCATTACAATAGTAATTGTAATTGTAATAATCAAAGATCACTGATCACAGATTACATAAGAGATAAAGAAAATAATTTTTTAAAGTTTCAAATAATTTGAGAATTACCAAAATGTGAGACAGAGACACAAACTGAGCACAGGCTGTTGGAAAAATGTCACCAACAGACTTGCTTGACACAGAGTTGTCATAAACCTTTGATCTGTAAAAAACTGCAGTATCTGTGAAGCACAATAAAGGGCAGCACAATAAAACGAGGTATGCCTGCGCTAAGTCCAAAATGGTGATTCCTATAGCAACACTGACATCCCAAACCCCTATCCTTGGCTTCATACCTAAATATCAAGCAATTCATATTTCACACAGGTGGTTCAAATGAACACATCAAAAGTGAACTCATTCTCCCTGCCACATCTACAAAGCTGCTTCTTTGCCCCAGTTATTGGTTTAGTTACCCAAGCTAGAAACTGGAAGGCTTCCTGGGCCATTCCTTCACCCTGTCTCAACCCATCAGAGTCCTGCTAATTTTGTTCCTGTTTACATCTCTCAGGTTCCCTTTGTCTATCTCATGGTCTGGTTGGTATCCTTATCCTCCTTGGCCTGGAGTACTGAAGCAACACCCTACCTTGTCTCTCTGCTCCAGTTTTATCTCCCATAATCCATCCTATGCTATGTAGAAACCATAACGACCTTTTTAAAATTCAAAACTGCCAAATCAGTTCCTGCAACTTACCTACCTACAACCCTTCAATGGTTTCCTAAGATCTACAGAGTTAAATCCAAGCTAGTTCAGTTATCCATTTTTTCAGTCTGATCTCCTGTCATTCCCAGTCTACTTTTTGGTATATTGGTCCAGGTCATTCCCTACAAACACTTGGCTCATGCTGTCCTTTCTGCTAGAATGTTTATCCGCAATCTTACTCATTTAACTAACTTGTACTTATCATTTACAACTCTATCCAGGCAACACATCATTCCCTTCATCTGCTTTTTCTATTGAATAATTATTGGAAGAATATTTTCTATGCCTTCAAATCTAAATTTACTAAAAGTTCCACTTGTAAGAGATACATTCCAAAGTAACATCAGAAGATTGTGTTCTTCTGGTAATACTAACCCATCATATATATTTGCTACACTAATGGCTGATCCTATATTGTGGACATCATTAAGATAGGCAACACAATTAGAAATATAAGTATGTATATGTGTGTGTATGTCTATATAGTTTCCCTTAAATAGCTATCCCATGTTAGCCACTGCAATTTGTAAAATTGGTAATGATTGAGAAAGGAGGCCCAATGGTGTGAAGGAAAGAAAACCAATTTCGGAAAAGAGAACTGGATTTGGATTTAAGCTCCATCATATCTGGTTTAATGTTATAGAATAAAGAATTTAATAATTCTATGTCCTTATCTGTAAAATGGGGATATTACCACCTCCTTGTAAGGTTGCCGTTATAACATCTAATAACTTATTAATGAGTTTGATACATGACGTGGTACATGGTAGATACTGAAAAAATAGTAGCTTTTAACATAGTTATTAATGCTGAGCAGTTAAAAATGTGACAAGCAAAAAAACACATGCAATACCTTTGATTAAAATGTGAGGTGCCATGATTAAAAGTCGCGTTCATTTTAAAACACACAAAGCCCTGCACAGCTTCAAAACATTTGTACCCCTGCAAAATTTGTCTTTAGTCCACCCATGTTTATCAAACCATCCTTCTCTCCCCAACATCCCCCATTTAATAAGATCATTCCTCTCTTGGACTAAATGTTAAGAGTATAATATAATTCTTATACTATAAATAAAATTTTAAAATAGAATAGGATAATATGTTTTATTACCTTTACGATATACTAATCTGATTTGATTATACACAAAATAGCTCAGTGTTATTGAGTCAGTAATTATTTCCTCAGTCTCTGTAAAGTATATAATACTTAGAATCAGTACTTAAAATAATCTTCATAAAGTTTACAAATTGTACCAAGTAAAAAAATACAATATAGTTATTGCTTGTATACTCATTTAAACAAATATCTATTGCAGCTTTACTACCTTACGGGAAAGCAAAAATGAACAATGACATAATCCTTGCCTTGTGCCTTACAGTCTAGCAGAGGAATTAGTCACATATACAACTAATCATCATAAAATATAAAAAGTACAGTATTAAAAATGAATAAAGAATTGTGGGAGCTCAAAGAATTATGGTAGCTAAATCTTCTAGGCTGAGGGTTGGTTCCTTGCAAGGGAAGTTACATATGAGGACACAGAGGAATTGAATAGATGGACAGGGAGATATACGGAATAACAAACAGCATGAACAATTTGCCACATATGTCTGGACAGTTTCACTGTCTTGTCATGAATACATATGTGCTACACGAAAAGGGAAAAGTGGCAGGTAATTCGTCTTTCTGCATGTTTACTTATCCTTTGCTAAGAGTAAAACACTGTTTAAAACAAGGAAAACAAGTGCACACACTCATTATTAGAATCATACCTATGCCTCACTAACATTTATTCAAATGAACTATGTCGTCTGTCTTAATTAGAGTTATTGCTATTTACTCTGAGTTGATAACATGTAAAACTTTGGCGAAAACATTTGGCTGTCACAGATTTATATTCTTAACCTAAATCTTTGCTGAATATTATTTCCAAATATTTACATCTATAAACAAGGCTGAGGCTCTTGTCTGAGTTAATAATGTCTTCTTTTTCTTTTTGTAGACAGAATAACATGAAAATATTAATAATGTATATTATAGAGACCAGAGCTAGGAATAAAAGACTAGGCCACACGCTAGGGCTGCTTACTCGGATAGCCCAGTTCAACAAAAGAGTAATACAGGCATTTGCCACTTGTTTTTGCTTCCTTTAGGCTTTAGCTGTGTATATCCTCCTACAATAGCCCAGGAATTCATTCCTCTGTTGTGACACTTACCTTCATGATTAAGCTTCTATGTTCCACAGATTCACTAAAATTTGTGCCCATTTCAAATATACTTGTGACTCCATCCTCACACAAATTCATCCAGTAATGATATTCCTCACGCCCAGGAAGTCGATCCCAAAAAGTCCTGAAGGCTTCCCAGACAGCTTCCTGACACACTAGAAAATAGAGAGGTGTATTTTACAAAAAGCTAACATGCTCTGGGGTTCTTACAACGATCATAGACGGATTCATACAGATTCCTTGAGACACTCAAGTGTCCTTTCTGGAGGGACCTAGGAATGATTCTCAGTCAAAGTGTATGTCCAGTTTAAACTTTTCATTTCTGAAGAGAATTTATATTTCCCATTCCTTTCTCTTACAAAGGGAATTGATTCATCTCTTCATGAGCTGGAGTGTCTCCCCCATCTCTTAAAAAAATCCATATTTATACTTTACAAAAGTGGAGCTGATATTGAGTATACTGTATTTAATCCAATTGTTTTCCTAATGGACACAGTGATTTTCAGTTTCCTGAATGTTCGCAGATGTTCTCCTAAAGTCTTCACTTGATCTTAGCCAAAAGGCCGAGAAGCGATATCCTAAAGTCTTAACTTCAAAAACCAGCTTCTTTGCTTTTCAGGATCACTGGGGAAGGAGACACTGACATATATAAATGGCCTGGAGCTTTTTGGCTAAATGCAGTGACATAACCGCATTGCATCTACTTGCTCAAAATGTCATCACGTTTCTGACTTAAAAAAAAAAAAACAGGAGTATTCAAACTTTTCCTCAAAGCTTACAGGAAGCAGAAAGTACTACATGAAATCGAGTAGAAGATATCCACCTGAAATTATCACTCTCAAACTACTATATTTCATATCTGAGAACAGAAAATAATCATCTTTTTTATACATAAAAACTTATGTCCACATAAAAACCTGCACACAAGTATTTATAAAGTCGCTTTATTCATAATTGCCAAAACTTGGGGGTGACGAAGATGTCTTTCAATAGGTGAAAGGATGAACAAACTGTGATAGATCTAAAATATTACTCAATGATAAACAGAAGTGAACTTTCAAGCTGTAAAAGATATGGAGAAAACTTTAATGCACATTGCTAAGTAGAGGAAGCCAATCTGAAATGACTGCATACTGGTGATTCCAATACCATTCTGGAAAAGGCAAAACTATGGAGACAGTACAAAGATCAGTGGTTTCCAGGGGCTGGGGGAGACAGGGATGAATAGCAGATTTTTAGGGCAGTGAAAGTACTCCTTATGATACTATAATGGAGGATACACGTCATTATACATTTGTCAAAATCCATAGAATGTACAACACAAAGAGTGAATCCTAATCCTAATGTTAACTATGAACTTCAGTTAATAATAATGTGTCAGTGTTGGCACATAAATTGTAACACATGTACCACAATAATACAAAATGTTAATAATAGGGAAAAGTGGTGGGGGAGTTGAGGGAATATATGGTAACTCTCTAAACACGCTGCTCAATTTTTCTGTAAACCTAAAACTGCTCTAAGAAATATAGCCTATTAATTTAAGAACTATATATATACACACAAACATACATACATACACATGAACTTTAAAATGATATTCAGGAGAAATATATTGCTGTATTAAAATAAAAACTAATCAATTTATTTGCTAAGTTATTCCAAAGCATCAAATCTGAAAGGCTGCTAAATAGTATCTCTGTGCATTTTGCATAGTACTGAATGTACTGCTGTTTTGTAACCATTTCAGAGGTGCAGGACTCTGTAGGTAACAGATCAGGATGGAAGGGAAGAGGAAGAGAGTGATAAGAGAGAAAGTTAGATTTAACAGAGATTTTTTTTAAAAAATTATTTTTCATAGCAAGAAGATTGAATACACATCAGGCAGTATAGTGAGGTGGAGCCTCTGGATTTACACAGTCGGAAGATCTGAATTCCTGCTCTAGCTTTCTAGTACACTAGTTTGATAACCATGGGTAACTTACCTAACTATTCAAAGCTTCAATTGACTCATCTCTCTTTTTTAACAGGATAAATAATTACTACCTTATTATCTTATCTGTGAAAGTATTTTACAAATTGCAAAGTGCAACATGAATATCATATGTTAGTATCAGGTTCAATTCTGATTGTCCAATAGTTATTTGGTGGAAGAAGATAGTCCAAGCCAAAAAAATTCTTAAGCTTTAACAGATTATGAAATGTATGAGTATTGAAAGTTTCCCTGTCAATTGAGTTTTAGGGCTAAACTGAACCTTTTATTACAAACTTAATTTGCCTTTTATTGAACTAACTGTATCCTTATTATTGTTATTCAGAACTTTTGACCATACGGCAGACAGAAGAGTCCAGCAGGCACTGACTGAGGCAGAGCTGAACTATTTGTAGATCATTGTTTTTCATTTCTTCTTCTTAAAACTTCGAAATGAACATTAAAGTAAATTCCAAAAGACAACACAGAGGTGAAAAGTCTGGGTCAGTAAAAACTAACAAAAAGTGAATGTCTATAATGTGTGGTTATGAAATGAAGTGATTCAGAGAAAGTATTTTAAAAGTTTGAAAAAACAACTATCTACCCATAGGGAAAGAAAAAACAAATCTCAATGCCTTCTTCATACTATACACAAAAAATGATTTGAAATATTAGGGTTAATACTATGAAGTTTCTGAAATAAAACATAGAAGAGTATCTACATCACTTGAGGATAGACAAAGGTTTTATAGACTACACAGAAAGCAACAATTGTAAAAGAAAAAAATAATGAACTAGAATTCATCAAAACTAAAGTGTCTGATTATCAAAAGACACTGTTAATAAAAATGAGTAGGCAAACCACATATCTAGCAGAAATTTTCAAAATACATTTATCTGACAAAGAATTGGGATTTAGGACACTGAAATAATTCCTACAACTCCCTAACAAAAAAAAAACAAACAACCTAATTTTTACAGTAGGTAAAAGGCTGGAATATATAATTCACAAAGAAAGAGATACAAATAGCCAATGAGTATGTGAAAAACTGTTCACCATCATTCATTTTTCAGAGAAATTCAAATTAAAGTATACACACACAAACCAGAATGACTGAAATTTTTACATGGAAAACACCAAAATTTGGCAAAAATGCAGAGCAACCAAAAGCCTCATTTTGGTAGGAATGTATAATAGTACAACCACTTTGAAAATAAATGTTGTTTCTTATATAACAAAAAATACACCAATCCTATGTATTAGTTCATTCTCATGCTGCTATGAAGAAATGCTCAAGAATGGGTAATTTATAAAGGAAAGAGATTTAATTGACTCATAGTTCCACATAGGTGGGGAGGCCTCAGGAAACTTACAATCATGGTGGAAGGGAAGCAAACACATCCTTCTTCACATGGCAACAGGAGAAAGAAGTGTTGAGTGAAGTGGGGGAAAGCCCCTTATAAAGCTATCAGATCTTGTGAGAACTTGCTCACTATCATGAGAACAGCATGGGGGAACCACTCCCATAATCTAATCATCTCCCACAAGGTCCTACCTCCAACAAATAAGGATTACAATTTGGATTAAAATTCAAGATGAGATTTTGGGTGGGGATACAGGCAAACTGTATCATTCTGCCCTGGCCCCTCCCAAATGTCATGTCCTCACATTTCAAAACACAACCATGCCTTTCCAACGTCTCCCAAAGTCTTAACTCATTCCAGCATTAACTGAAAAGTCCAAGGTCAAAGTCTCATCTGAGACAAGGCAAGTCCCTTCCACCTATAAGGCTGTAAAATCAAAAGCAAGTTAGTTACTTCCTAGATACAATGGGGGTACCGACTTTGGGTAAATACACTGTTGCAAATGGGAGAAATTGGCCAAAATTAAGTGAAATCTTAAAGCTCCAATATGATCTCTTTTGACTCCATGTCTCACATCCACGTCACATTGATGTAAGAGATGGGCTCCCACAGTCTTGGGAAGCTCCACCCCTGTGGGTTTGCAGGGTACAGCCCCCCTCCTAGCTGCCTTCACAGGGTGGCATTGAGTGTCTATGGCTTTTCCAGGTATCTGGTGCAAGCTGTTGGTTGATCTACCATTCTGGGGTCTGGAGGACAGTGACCCTCTTCTCACAGCTCCACTAGTCAGTGCCCCAATGGGGGCTGTGTGGCAGCCCCGAGCCCACATTTCCCTTCCACACTGCCCTAGCAGATGTTCCCCACAAGGGCTCCACCCCTGCAAAATCTTCTGCCTGGACATCCAGACATTTCCCTACATACTCTGAAATTTAGGTGAAGGTTCTACATACCTCAATTCTTGACTTCTGTGCACCTTCAGGCCCAACACCACATGTAAGCCGCCAAGGTCTGGGGCTTGCACCCTCTGAAGCAACAGCTTGAGCATTATGTTGGCCCCTTTTAGCCATGACTGGCGTGCAGGGCACCAACTCCAGAAACTGCATAAAGCAGCAGGCCTCTGGGCCTGTTATGAGAGGGGCTGCTGTGAAGACCTCTGACATGCCCTGAAGACATTTTACCCATTGTCTTGGTGGTTAACATTTGGTTTATCACTACTTATGCAAATTTCTGCAATCAGCTTGAATTTCTTCTCAGAAAATGGGTTTTCTTTTCTATCGCATTGTCAGGTTGCAAATTTTCTGAACTTTTATGCTGTGCTTCCCTTTTAAACATAACTTTCAATTCCAAACCATATCCTTGTGAATATATAAATCTGAATGCTTTTAACAGCACCCAAGTCACCTCTTGAATGCTTTGCAGCTTAGAAATTTCTTCCACTAGATACCCTAAATCATCTCTCTCAAGTTCAAAATTCCACAGCTCTCTAGGGCAGGGACAAAATGCCACCAGCCTCTTTGCTAAGACATAGTGAGTCACCTTTATTCCAGTTCCCACAAGATTCTCATCTCCATCTGAGACCTTCTTTCAGCCTAGACTTCATTGTCCATATCACTGTCAGCATTTTGGTCAAAACCATTCAACAAGTATCTAGGAAGTTCCGAACTTTCCCACATCTTCCTATCTTCTTCGGGGCCCTCCAAACTGTTCCTATCTCTGCCTGTTACCCAGTTCCAAAGTTGCTTCCACATTTTGGGGTATCTTTACAGCAATGACCTCCTACTTGGTAGCAATTTGCTATATTAGTTCATTCTCATGCTGCTA